CCCCCCCCACCCCCCCTCCAGCTGCTCACGTCCTTCCTGCCGCCGCATGCCTGCCTACGGGCAGGGGGCAGTGGGGACCCGCAAACCCCTGCCCACCTGTCCCCACCAGCTGCCCTGGCAGCCGGCTCTGGTCCCAGCTCCTCCTCAGAAGTATCTCGCTGAGCCTACGGCTGTGGCAATGTCGGGCCTATGGGCACAAGGGGGCCTTTGTTTGAGAGGAGGCCAGCGGGGTGCAGGGGGACATGGACGGGCCCAGCATACCAAGCAGGGGCTGAGCTGAGGGGAGCTGCAGGCCCCAGGCACGTGCGAGGGCAGCAGCTGCGGCAGCCACCGTGCTGCAGAGTGTGGCCTGCATGCATGCTAGCCAGCCCTGGGCTCCCCTGTGAGGCTCCCTGCCGCAGCAACTGGGGGTCTCCCCTCAGCCCCATACGCTGGTGGCACCTCCTGCTCACCAAGGGACCTTGTGGTAAGGCGGGTGGAGGGCCTGGGATACGGGCTGGGGGCCTGCAGAGCAGGGCTAATGGCGAGGAGGATGCACAGTAAGGCTAGGAGCAGAGTGGGGTCTGCCCCACTGCAGGCCTGGGAGCTGGAGGCTGAGAGTGCGGCGCAGCAGCTGCCACATTCGGCCATTTTCAACAGCTGCTGTCTCAGCGCCAGCAAAACAGGGAATGTGCATGGGCTGGGAGCTTTTCAAGGCCTGGACACAGTGCATAAAACAAACTATTTATAGTTCTCACATCCCTCCTCGAGCACAAATAGCCAGCATTCTTCTTGTGCGGAGCCTGTGTGCTCAGTTGCCACTGGTGCTCCCTGCTGCCACCACAGGCACTCTCTGGATGCCGCCTGCCAGCACAGCTGCCACCCCCTGCACACCCGGCAAGTCCCCTCCTGGCAAGGCAGGGAGCTCCTCAGTAGAAGGCCTTGCCCTCCTTCTTCCTTCTCCCTTTTTGCTGTCCTGTTCCCACTTCTGTGGCAGAGCAACGGGATGGTTCCCCATGGCCAGGCTTTCTGCTGGCACCTTGCCCACTTGGAGTAGCGGGCCACCCCTACAGATTTTAATACCCGATGCCCACTCATGCTCATCTTCTCAGTATCCTCCCTCACCTTACTCTGTGCTCTGTGCCACGCATACAGAGCTAAAGCTTATAGAGACTGGGACATGTGAGAGCTGCTTAAATATTGGCAGGTGTTAATAGTTTTTTTTTTTGTCCTGAGGCAACCTCTGAAGTAGAGTAAGAGTCTTGCCTTGCCTATGGAGCTGGACTGCTGCTCTGTGCCTGGAGACTGCTGCAGCCCAGGGAGCAGGTTGGCTGCTACCATGCTGTGCACTC